CCACTTTCACCACCACCAACACTACCACCACTACCACAATCATTACTACCACCACTACCACTACTTCCAACACTCACCACAACCACCACAATTATCAACAACTATTTCCTGATATAGTCACACCTAACCAACCAACCACACACACACACACACACACATCACTCAAACGCAGTGAATCTCGCAAGACCTCGGGGTAATACAGTGTTACTCCACAGGTGTCGTTAAGGCCAAAAGTCCATATGTCATAGTATAGGGTGACGAGCCTTACGACACTTTTGTCACTATGGCTTGTGTCATCACCTGTGTTCAGATTACAGTCTAGGTAAGATGACGTGTGTGTGTGTGCGTGTGCGTGTGTGTGTGTGTGCGTGTGTGTGTGTGTGTGTGTGTGTGTGTGTGTGTGTGTGTGTGTCCTTTCACCTATTATAACTAGTATTAACTTCAACTACTAAAAATAATAATAATAATAATAATAATAATAATAATAATAAAATAAAATATAATGATTAAGTGTTAACAGAGAGAGAGTCATCCTACTTTCCCATCCGACACCTCTTAAGATACCTCTCTCACGCACCATTGAAATCACCATTACCACCAATACTCAAGGGGTTAAATCATCATACTCAAGGGGTTAAATCATCATACTCAAGGGGTTAAATCATCATACTCAAGGGGTTAAATCATCATACTCAAGGGTTAAATCATCATACTCAAGGGTTTAAATCATCATACTCAAGGGGTTAAATCATCATACTCAAGGGGTTAAATCATCATACTCAAGGGGTTAATCATCATACTCAAGGGTTAAATCATCATACTCAAGGGTTAAATCATCATACTCATGGGGTTAACATTATAGAGAGGATTAATAGTGTACTTTTCCAATAAACACTGTCACATCTGTCAATTAAAGTCACACATGTCAATTAACCTGTCACGCCTCTCAATTAACACCTGTCACACCTGTCAATTAACACCTGTCACACCTGTCAATTAACACCTGTCACACCTGTCAATTAACACCTGTCACGCCTCTCAATTAACACCTGTCACCGAATACCTGAACTTGAACAGCTGTCACTTAACTCCTGTCATTTAGCAGGTGTTAATTAAACGGTCTGGGGAGCATATTGCTAAGGTAAGGTGGCGTGTGAGTGAAAGTAAACACGTGAGAGAGAGAGAGAGAGAGAGAAGAGAGAGAGAGAGAGAGTTAACGGAACGAGCACCTAAGACGCAGTAAGTAGCAACAGTATTACCAACACAAAAGATGTGTGGGGAAGGGGGGTGGATTAAGGCAGATCAGTGTTACCACTCTCCCACAAAGGCTATCAATGAATCTGGCAACACTGATAACATTTTCTGGAGAACATTCGGGTGATAGTCCTTTATTTTGTTATGTTATTATGACCTCTATTGACCTCTGTTGACCTCTGCTAATACCTGGAGGACACCTGTAATTAGTTTAGTCACAATGGATAACACTTTTATTATGTGTGTCTCAGGAGGACTCGAACCCAGGACAATACAGGATCAATAAGGAACGTAGTAAACAATGACATAGGTATACAACAATTTAAAGTAGGTATAACATATACGACAGTACAGGTATACAAACAATGGTATTCGGTAAGACAATACAACCCTAGCAAATTCAACCGGACTTCTTTAACCGGATAGTCGTAAAGAAGAAACAGAACTGTATTATGTATGTGTTTGTATACCTGTACTGTCTAGGTATATGTGTTTGTATACCTGTACTGTCTAGGTATATTGTTTGTATACCTGTACTGTCTAGGTATATTGTTTGTATACCTGTATTGCTGAGGGTAGGGTGTCGTGTTTGGGGTCGTACTGCTGGGGGCGTGTGTCTGATAATATTATGATGTCAAGATGTTGGCAAAATGGTCTCTCTCTCTCTCTCTCTGTTCATCACACAAGAGAAATTCACATCGTGCTGACGCCCTTGACAGCGGGCAATGGTTCTTGTCGGGGAAACTGAGCCAAGAGAGCTGTGTGTGTGTGTGTGTGTGTGTGTGTGTGTGTGTGTGTGTGTGTGTGTGAGGAACAGTTCACCGTAAGCCGCCATCCTTGAGAGCGAGTCGATTGTTATTACTGGATTGAACAAACGAAACTGTTGGCTATCTCTCTTTTTTTTTCTTCTCTCTCTCTCTCTCTCTCTCTCATTATCTCTATCTCTCAACAATATGGGAACACTCAGGTGATGGCAGTTGTTGTTGTGGTTGTTGTTGTGACATGTTGATGAGTGGTATAATAGGGGAAGGGGTGTGAAGAAGGGGAGGTGAGGGAAAGAAGAAGGGGCGAGGGTTGAAGAATGGGAGGGAAGTGAAGGGTTAGAAGGGGAAGTAGGAGGAAGGAGGGTTGGCGTGACCACAGGTTGAGTTATATTGCAAGTAATACCTTTCTTAGTGTGACACGATGATCTGACCCACATAACACTTGCATAACACACACACACACACACACACACACACACGCACAGACACACACACACACACACACACACACACACACACACACACAGAATAAGACGCCAATATTTTAACATCTTATTTCTCACACACAAGCCCCTCCTCCTCTATCTCACCCCCACACACACCTTCCTCCCTCATCTCTCCCTTTCCTCCCCACTTCTCTCCCTTCCTTCCCCTCCCTACCCCTACACCATAACCCCCCCTTACATCCTCCTTCTTCCATAAATCCTGGTTGTACACACGACGTTACCTCCTCAACCTACTTATATGTGAGACACTCCTGGCTATCTCTCCCCAAGGTGTGTGTGTGTGTGTGTGTGTGTGTGTGTGTGTGTGTGTGTGTGTGTGTGTGTGTGTGTGTGTGTGTGTAGGGAAACTGGTAAACTTAAAAGAAGATTAGAGATAGTTACAGGTCTCTTCTCTCTCTCTCTCTCCTCCCACCCTCACACACCAAGGCCAGTTCTACACACACACACACACACACACACACACACACACACACACACACACACACACACACACACACACACACACACACCTGTACATCACTTTATACATTAAAAGTAAATAAACAAAACAACAAAACAAAAACACACTAAAAATAAATATACTGTATGAACTTAAGATAGATAGATAGATAGATAGATAATAGAAGAGTAGATAGATAGATAGATAGATGGATAGATAGTGAAAGGACTACACACACAGACACGATTCTTTCAAGGATAAAGTCTTGTGTGATTCGTCTCTTTCGATTCATGACGTAATGATGACGTAGTGATGACGTAGTTGTAATAATGACGTAATAGTGATGATGACGTAATAGTGATGATGACGTAAAGTGATGATGACTTGGGATGACGTCAGTGGCTTCCAGAACGACAGGATTGTGTTGAAATTCCAGTGAGAAAGGCGACCAGGACATGGAGAGGAGAGAGAGAGAGAGAGAGAGAGAGAGAGAGAGAGAGAGAGAGAGAGAGAGAGACATAACCGAGGCAGAAGAACAAAGAACAACATAACACCTGAAGAACGGAAGTGAACAAAAGAAGGTTATTTCACCTAGGAAGAAGAGGAGGAGGAGGAAGATAAAGGGAGGAAGGTGAAGGGAGGAAGCATCATTCAAGATCTATCACGTGGGAGGAAGAGCAGGATGGAGGGAGGAGGGGGGGAAGAGGAGGAGGAGGGAGAGGAGGGGAGGAGGAGGAGGGAGGAGGAGGAGCAGGAGGGGAGAGGAGGAGGAGGAGGAGGAGGAGGCAGGAGGAGGAGGAGGAGGAGGAGGAGGGGAGGAGGAGGAGGAGGAGGAGGAGGAGGAGACCCTACGGGAAACTAATTGCAAGATAGTACCTGATGAGAGAGAGAGAGAGAGAGAGAGAGAGAGAGAGAGAGAGAAAGAGAGAGAGAGAGAGAGAGAGAGAGAGAGAGAGAGAGAGAGAGAGAGAGAGAGAGCACTATAATAACAGGTGTACTGCCACAGGTAGGTGAATTTACCTCAGAACTATAATTACTATTTAACTTTTCTCTCGCTTTCGTTTTTTGTGTGTGTGTGTGTGTGCATGCATGTATATGTGCATTCATATGTGTATGCGTGAATGTCTGTGGTTTGTATGTATGTATGGTGTATATGCGTGTGTGTATGTATCTGGTGTATGTGTGTGTGTATGTATCTGCGTGTATGTCGTGCGTGTGTGTATTTCTGGTAGGTGTGTGTATGTATCTGCGTGTATGTGCGTGTGTGTATGTATCTGCGTGTATGTGCGTGTGTGTATGTATCTGCGTGTATGTGCGTGTGTGTATGTATTCGTGTATGTGTGTGTGTATGTATCTGCGTATGTGTGTGTGTGTGTATGATTGGTGTGTTGTGTGTATGTATCTGGTGTATGTGGGTTGTTTGTATGTGTGTGTGTATGATCGTATGTGGTGTGTGTATGTATCTGTGTGTATGTGCGTGTGTGATGTATCTGCGTGTATGTGTGTGTATGTATCTGTGTATGCGTGTGTGTATGTATCTGTGTGTATGTGCGGTGTGTATGTATCTGCGTGTATGCGTGTGTATCTGCGTATGCGTGTGTGTATGTATCTGCGTTGTGGTGTGTGTATGTATCTGCGTGGTGTATGTATCTGCGTATGTGCGTGTGTGTATGTATGTATGTATGTGTGTCCACCATTAGATACTGGTGTTTTTAAAGGGCGATTTTGATGACAGTTGTGTTACCTATCATAGGGCGTGTCACCCCTCGTTCACCACAGGTCATTTACTCGTTGAACGTATGGTACACCCGTTGAACGTATGGTACACTTCGTTGAACGTATGGTACACCTGTTGAACGTATGGTACACTCGTTGAACGTAGCGGTGCACCTCGTTGAACGTATGGTACACCGTTGAACGTATGGTACACTTGTTGAGCGTATGGTACAATCTCGTTGAACGTATGGTACACCTCGTTGAATGTATGGTACACTTTGTTGAACGTATGGTACACTTGTTGAAACGCGTGCGGTACACCTCGTTGAACGTGGTACACTTGTTGAACGTATGGTACACCGTTGAACGTATGGCGCCACTGTTGAACGTGCGGTACACTTCGTTGAACGTATGGTACACTCTGTTGAACGCGTACACTTGTTGAACGTGTGGTACACCTGTTGAACGTATGGTACACCGTTGAACGTATGGCTGCACTTTGTTGAACGTATGGTACACCTCATTGAACGTATGGTACACCTCGTTGAACGTATGGTACACCTCGTTGAACGTAGGTACACTCGTTGAACGTATATTGAATATTGTTAAGTACGTTTTTAGACTATCACAGGTGGAAGATTTCGTTGACGGAAGAGAGAGAGAGAGAGAGAGAGAGAGTAAATCCCTTCCTCCACTTAAGTTCACGATACAAAACATAATGACCACTTTAGGAATAATTACAGGGCCCTTGAGGTGTGTGTGTGTATGTGTGTGTGTATGTGTATGTGTGTGTACAGTATGTATGTATGTATGTGCTTGTTAATCTGCATATGAGTGTGTGTCAATGTTATGTGTGTAAGTGTCCTCTATATGTGTATGTGTAGGTATGTGTATCTATGTGTATGTATACTACCACACACACACACACAAACACACAAACATTATGAAGGTCTTTGATTACGTAATGGATCAGGAGCTATTGAAGAGTGAGAACAAGTGACTCGTTGCAAGCTCAATATGCAACACATTCTCAACAATATAACGCTTGGTGAATGCAATATAGCTGTGCAAGATGAGTGGTATATGGCAATGCTTGAGTTTTTAAGTTTATTGTGATTTTTAGATGTGGTAAATATACATTGCTTTTAAAAATTTATATAGATATACATTGCTTTTAAATTACAATATATATAGATGTTTATTATTTATAGCAAGTCAGATGATTAATGTTTACTAGTCAGCTGATTAATGTTTACTAGTCAGCTGATTAATGTTTACTAGTCAGCTGATTAATGTTTACTAGTCAGCTGATTAATGTTTACTAGTCAGCTGATTAATGTTTACTAGTCAGCTGATTAATGTTTACTAGTCAGCTGATTAATGTTTACTAGTCAGCTGATTAATGTTTACTAGTCAGCTGATTAATGTTTACTAGTCAGCTGATTAATGTTTACGTTAGTCAGCTGATTAATGTTTACAAGTAGTCAGCTGATTAATGAAAGTAGTCAGCTGATTAATGTTTACTAGTCAGCTGATTAATGTTTACTAGTCAGCTGATTAATGTTTACAGCAGCTGATTAATGTTTACTAGTCAGCTGATTAATGTTTACAAGTAGTCAGCTGATTAATGTTTACTAGTCAGCTGATTAATGTTTACAAGTAGTCAGCTGATTAATGTTTACAGTACACCAGCTGACGTAACCTCTCCCCGCCGTAAGCTATTTACAACACCGTGGTCCACATTTCGTTGTTTCAGTAAGATGTAGCGAAGTTTACTAGCCAATCCTGCTCTGAGATTTCAACACAGATTTCCCTGACGCAACAGACAGACAGACAGACAGACAGACAGACATACAGACTGTCTTTTATGTTGGGTGAATGTTTTTAGACGGACTTATACAAAGATACCATGAAGCTTACAGACACGTGACTGATATCTTAGAGAATGAGATGTACACACGGCACACACACACACACACACACAGACTATACATAGGTTAAATGAGAGAGAGAGAGAGAGAGAGAGAGAGAGGAGAGAGAGAGAGAGAGAGAGAGAGAGAGAGAGAGAGAGAGAGAGATCTCATCAAGACGAAACCAGAATCACCCTGAATGCTATTCTTACCAAAAAAGACAAAATAAAATTAATACATAAATAAATAAGGTAAAGTAAAGTAAAGAAGTTAGGGTATAAGTTAGGTAAGGTTAGGTTAGTTAGGTAGGTATAAGAAGGAAGTAATAGTAAGGTTAGGTATGTAAGGTAAGGTTAGGTGGAGGTAAATAGGTTAGGGGTTAGGTAAGGTTAGGAAGGGTTAGGTATAAGGTTAGGTAAGGTATGTAAGAAGAAGAGGTTAGTAAGTAAGGAGAAGTTAGGTTAGGGTATGTATAAGAAAAGGTGAAGGTAGGTAAGGTATGGTGTAGTAAAGGTAAGGTTAGGGGGGTTAGTTGTGTAAGGTTAGGTAAGGTTAGGTTGAAGTTAGGTTAGGTAAGGTTAGGTAGGAAATAGGTTAGGTAAGGTTAGTAAGGAAGGTTGTGTAAGGTTAGGTAAGGTTAGGTAAGGTTAGGTAAGGTTAGGTAAGGTTAGGTTAGGTTAGGTAAGGTTCCACTCAGGTGTATAATGAGTTACGGTAAAAATATGTCCTTGATATATTTAATTTAATTTCTTAGGTGCTTTGTGTGAGCCGGTACCAAAGTTAGGTTAGGTTCTGTCTGTCTGTCTGTCTCGCTCTCTCTCTCTAATTCTCTCGTATATAACACATTCTCTCTACGAAATTTTCTCTCTCTCTCTTTCTCTCATTATCGTTCACCTCTTCTCTCCCTCTCGTTATCGTTCACCCTCTCTCGTTATCGTTCACCCCCTCCCCCTTTCTCTCATTATCGTTCACCTCTCTCATTATCGTTCACCCTCTCTCTCTCTCATTATCGTTCACCTCTCACCTGAGCCACAACGGAACAGGAAATCACGTCCAATTGAGAAATAAATTCGTTCAAAACTGGATACTAACACCAACTGTCCTTCGGGATAACAGTTAACGTTAGTCTCCCTGTTTACTGCAATTGCTGTAAAAACACACTAATCATAAGTTGAACAAACACACTTTAGACTGTTATGTAATAGGTATAAAATAGCTTCATTGCTCACACACACTGGTAAGAGCTATTTGGATATATTAAGTAAACTATGCCAGGGGTATAGTTCATGCCTTGGATCTGTTACATATTGTTAAGTATGAAAATTATTTAATGGTTTATTTTATGGTAATATGTTTAGAATTGAGTTATGTGGGGGGGTGGGGGTGTGGGGGTGGGGTTGTGTGGGGTGTGTGTGTGAAGGAATTGAGGTTGTGATGTTGGTTGTTTCATAATAATGGTAACACACACACACACATACACACACACACACACACACACACACACACACACACACACACACACACACAGACGAGTGACCTTAATGTGGAGCAAAATAAATGAAGTCCTTGTAGAGTATTGACGCCATATTGATTATTACCAGTTTTTAGCGAGTTTCTCTTTCTCTCTCTCTTGTCTGTCTGTCTGTTCGTCTGTCTGTCTCTCTCATAAGAAAAATAATAAATTTTATACTGAAAAAAATGAAAGGAAATTATTGAAGGAATGAAGCGGAAATTGTAACTGTTTAATGTGGGTGACTCTAACGGGGGAGGAAGGAAGGGGAAGACAGGGAAGAGAAGGGGATTGAAGGTAGAAGGAGGAAGGAGGAAGGAGGAATAGATGGGGAGGAGAGATGAGAACGGTAGATGAGAAGAGAGGAGAGGAGGAGGAGGGGGTAGAAGAGAGAGGAGGAGAGGAGGGGAGGAAGGCCCATCATGTTCTAGATTAACATGTTTTCTACAGGTAGTGGGGGGGAATGCTAACCTGACCGGGTGACCACAGGTAATGGGATGCAGGTGGGTTTTTTTATATATAAACTTAAGATAACTAATTCGATCGTAATACAAGTTCAGATTCTCGAAGGTTCTTACGGTAAAAATTTCTCGTATCTGAATATTTGAGAATCCACTTTAAGAGTTTGATAGTAAAATGACTTCAAATTAACACTGAGACTCTACCTTAATTAGATACCTTCACTTAGCACCAATAGGGAGACAAAATTAACACTGAAACTCTCTTTAACTAGATACCTTCACTTAGTAGCACCAGTTAGAGACAAAATTAACACTGAAACTCTACCTTAACTAGATACCTTCACTTAGTAGCACCAGTTATGAGACAAAATTAACACTGAAACTCTACCTTAACTAGATACCTTCACTTTAGTAGCACCAGTTATGAGACAAAATTAACACTGAAACTCTACCTTAACTAGATACCTTCACTTAGTAGCACCAGTTATGAGACAAAATTAACACTGAAACTCTACCTTAACTAGATACCTTCACTTAGTAGCACCAGTTATGAGACAAAATTAACACTGAAACTCTACCTTAACTAGATACCTTCACTTAGTAGCACCAGTTATGAAACAAAATATCAAAATAATAAAACAAATATGCATAAAAAAATAAAAATATATTATAAATTGAAAACTAATGGCGGTAAATTTTCCAATATGGCGTCACAACTCCCTTAGCAACCAATCATCGTCTTTCACTTGTCAAGGTTGCTAGGGACGCTAGATGTAAAGGGCTTTTATAAGTTAATTGTATATTGTTAAAAATGAAGAAACAGCTGAGACAATATCCCACCTCCCTCTACCCCCCTTTCTGCCTCTCCACCCCACCTGCACCCCCACCCCACCTTGCACCCCCCCACCCCACCTTGAGGGAGACATGAATACAGTATTGGCCAGGTGTTGTATGCAGGTGTTGTTGTATCTGGCTGGTGGTGTTAGCCCCACCTCGACCTTCAAAAAACCAGCTAACCCATCACCTCATCCCCTTCTTCCTCACACCCCACCTTCCTCACACCCTCCTCACCCATTCTCCAACACCACCTTCACCCTCCCTCCAACGCCCCCTCCTCGTCACCCACACCAACATTTCTCCCTTCTCCTCCAACACCCCCTCCAGCTTCATGACCCCACCCCATCACGGAGAGGGGAGGGGGGTCGGGGATGGAGGAAGGCGGTGAAGAAGAAGGAGGAGATGAAAAGAGGGAAGAGAAAGAGGAGAAGGATAGGAGGAGGAGGAAGAGAGGAGAGGGAAAGAAGGAAGGAGAGAAGGAGGGAGAAGGAGGGAGAAGGAGGAGAAAAGGAGGGAGAGAAGGAGGAGAGAAGGAGGAGAAGGAGGGAGAGAAGGAGGGAGAGAAGGAGGGAGAAGGAGGGAGAGAAGGATGGAGAAGGAGGGAGAGAAGGAGGGAGAGGATGCTGGGTGTGGCCAGTCCGTTGTCGTGGTGACCTCGAACCACTGACGGGGAGGAGGAGGCCATTAACTTTTACTCAGTACACGTAACCTACCTCCATTTACCTTAATAATATACCTGAGTTGCCTTAATTAATTTACCTATGATTTACTTTAAATAATTCTCCCTTAACCAAACCTAACTGTGGTCACTTTTTCTTCTCTTCCACTTGCCCTTCTTCCTTTCCTCCTTCTTCCCTTCCCTTTCTTCCACTCCTCCTTCTCCTCCTCCTCCTTCCTCCTCCTACCCCCACTTGTGACCAGGAGTGGCAACACACTAGTCTTACGATACCAACATAAAGAAACTGTCTCTCACACACACACACACGTATACATCAGTCAGGTCAGGAGAGGCTAGGGGGGCATGTGTCATGTTATGTAGTCAAGGTCAGGATGGCGGAATCAGCTGGTGCTATTAAAAAACAGCTGATGCCAGGGCGTGATTGGTTGTGTGTGGCTGTACTTGGGTAGGTGGCTGCACGGGTATGTGTGGCTGAACTCATGTGTGTATTGGGCATTGTATTTGGATGTGGGCTGCACTTGATAGGTGTGGCTGTATTTGGGTATGTGCAGTATTTGGGTATGTGGCTGTATTTGGGGTATGTGTGCGTATTGGGTATGTGTGGCCACTTGGGCAGGGTGGGCTGCACTTGGGTATGTGGCCGTTCTTGGGTGTGTGGCCGTTCTTGGCATGCGGCCGTACTTCATATGTGTGGCTGCACTTAGTATGTGCGCACTTGGGTATGTGTGGCCGTATTTTGGGGTGCACGGGTATGTGCGGCTGCATTTGGTATGTGTGGCCGTACTTGATCGCGTAAGGTCATACTTGGTAATGTGCGGCCGTACTTGGGCATATGGAGGCATCAGGTATGTGTGGGCGTACTTGGAAACGTGCAGGCGTACTTAGACATGTTAGTGAGCGTGTTTTTCCAGCTACCGGCATCAAGTGGGCGTATGTGGTGGTCTCGTTACCCAACATACCGGTACCAGGAGGGCGGCGGGTGGGCGGGGTAGTCTAGAGCGCTGGGCCAGCAGGCAGCGTCGAAGGCAAAAGTGGACTTATGAAGACATTGGTTGTACCCTCCTCTACCTTCCCTATCCTCCTCCTCTCCAAACCCTGACCTCCCTCCCCCTTCTCCCCACCTCACTTCACCTCCTACCCTCCCTCCTCCCACCTCACTATCTCCCTCACTTCTCCCTCACTACCCCCCACACCTCCCTCAATTTCTTTACATCTACACATTATATATATACATATACATACATACATACATACATACATACAGAGAGAGAGAGAGAGAGAGAGAGAGAGAGAGAGAGAGAGAGAGAGAGAGAGAGAGAGGTAGCACCGGAAGTTTGGATCTTATCTCTGTCTGTCTGTCTTTTCTTACTTTCTTTTCTCCTATTTACGATAACAGATAGATAGATAGATAGATAGATAGATAGATAGATAGATAGACAGATAGATAGTTGAATCCCAACCTAACCTAATCTACAGACAAACAAACACCCCTTTGGACACATCAGACAGCTAGATCTCCACCAAGGGTCAGGGTGAGGGGGGGGGGAAGGTGGATATAGGGGTTAGGGGATGGGATAGGGGCATATAGGGGTAGGGGAGTAGGGAAGGATAAGGGATAGAGGTTTAAAGAGGGAGGAGGAGGAGGTAGGGGAAGGGTAGAGGTAGGAGGGAGGGGTATAAGATACTTAGCAACAGTTAGATATACCCTCTCCCTCCCCACCCCCCAAGTACTCCTGAATACCAAGGGCCTGAGCGAGTGACTCCTTGTACCGGTGGGGGCGTGAAGGACTTTGTTTTGACCCTAGGATACTGTACTATAGGATCCTGAAGGAGTCTATATAAGGAGTTTGTGTTGATTTGAAGGACTCTGTGTAAGGAGTTTGTATTAAGCCTAGGATATTGTACTGTAGGATTCTTGAAGGACTCTGTAAAATGATTCAATCTGTCTGTCTGTGTCTGTCTGTCTGTCTGTCTGTCTGTCTGTTCTGTCTGGTTCCTGTCTGTCTGTCTGTCTGTCTGTCTGTCTCTTTTTTCACAATTACTCCAGTAACTAATTTATATTTCTCTCTCCAAATGACAGATGAATGAATAATAATTTACCTTTAACAGGAGGAGGAGGAAATGGAGGTGGGGGGGGAAGATACAGTTGTGAGGGAGGTGAGGAGGGTGAGGGTGGGTGGTGGGTGGTGGGTTGGTGGTGGTGGTGGGGTTGGTGGGTGGTGGGTGGGTGGTGGAGGATGGTTCAGGCTCTGGGAATGTGGCCTTTTACCCGTGAGAGAGAGAGAGAGAGAGAGAGAGAGAGAGAGAGAGAGAGAGAGAGAGAGAGAGAGAGAGAGAGAGTTGCAAGCAACATCCAGCCACCAGCAACTCAACACTATGCAACATCTCAACAAAACCACAACAGCGAAGAGACTATGTGCAACAAACATTCACACTTGCAACAAAAAACAAAACAAGAGATAATTTGCAACATCTGGTCATATGCAGAACTGTGAAAGGAAAATTTGCAACATGTGTTCACGCCAGAGACTCGATAGATATAATAAGCAACATGTCTGCGTATCTCACAGTGCAAAGGAGAAAGAATTTGCAACAATAATCATAACTTTTACCTAAAAATACCAGAATTTGCAACACATGGTCAGAATTTTTATACCATAGGTCATAGAATAATACAACCGGTATTAATATATTTAACTGTAAAGGAGAATTAATAACAAGCATTTATACTGATAGAGGGAGTGGAGGGGCGTGGAGGGAGTGGAGGGAGGGAGAGGTGTGGAGGGAGGGAGGAGGGAAGGAGGAGGAAGTGGAGGGTGTGTGAGGAGGGGGAGGGTGGGGAGGGAGAGAGGGGGAGGGAGGAAGGATTGTGAGAAGAGAGAGAGAGAGAGAGGGGGTGGGTGAGCATGCTAGTAGTAGTGTAGGGGTGATGCTAGTGGTTCCTGGATAGCAGTGGTAGTGGTGGTGGTGGTGGTTGCTGGGGTGAGAGACTTCCTGGAAGGTAAGTAAGAGAGAGTGGGGAGGGGAGGAGGGAGGGGGAATGGGGGGAATGGGTAGGTTATTTCTGAAGGTTGAAACTGCCTGGATGCTGAAGGTATGTGACAAGGAAGAGGTGGTGGAGGTGATGGGTGTTAGTGTGGTTGAAGGAAGTGGTGGTGATGGTGAGGTAATAAATGGTGGTGGTTGATGGTAATGGTGTTGATAGTGATGGTGGTGATAACGGTGGTTCCTTGTGAGGCGGAAACAAGGTAGCCACCCTAAAGGTCGATACACCTGCCCTGATGAGTAAATTAACAGCTTGGAAATGTTAGGGATTTTCCCTTTAGCTCTCCTGAATAACACAAAGGGGGGTGGTGGGGGGGAGGGGAGGGAGGGAGGGTTTGGGGGAGGGAGGGAGGGCAGATTAATGGGTGTCTTGGGTCTCCTGGAAGGATGGGGCATGACCTAAGGAGGTAATGGGGGGAGGCTTAATGGGTACGGAGGTGTCCTGAAGGTTGGAGGTGCCCTGGAAGGTTAGGGTGCCCGGAAGGTTAAGAGGTGCCCTAGGCTAGGAGGTGCCCTGGAAGGTTAGGAAGTGCCCTGGAAGGTTAAGAGGTGCCCTGTAAGGCTAGGAGGTGCCCTGGAAGGTTAGGAAGTGCCCCGGAAGGTTAAGAGGTGCCCTGTAAGGCTAGGAGGTGCCCTAGGCTAGGAAGTGCCCCGGAAGGTTAGGGAGGCCCTGTAGGAGGTGCCCTGGAAGGCTAGGAAGTGCCCCGTGAGTTAAGAGGTGCCCTGTAAGGCTAGGAGGCCCTGAAGGTTAGAAGTGCCCGGAAGGTTAGGAGGTGCCTGGAATGTTGGGGTGGAGAAGGACCTATAGTGACGAATGAGGGAGGAGGAAGAGAAGAAGAAGTAGGAGTAGGAGGAGGAGGAAGAGAAGAAGAAGTAGGAGTAGGAGAAGGAGGAAGGTAAGTGGGTAGGTAGGTGTTTCCGGCACAGGTAAGGTCGGACCAGGTGAGGCAAAGGTCCTGCCTGACTGAATAACTGGATCGCTGAGGTGAGTCTTACGAGGCCATCCGGTGTGTGTGTGTGTGTGTGTGTGTGTGTGTGTGTGTGTGTGTGTATGTGTGGGTGTGTGTGTGTGTGTGTGTGTGTGTGTGTGTGTGTGTGTGTGTGTGTGTGTGTGTGTGTGTATGTGTGTGTGTGTGTGTGTGTGTGTGTGTGTGTGTGTGTGTCCGATATGTTGCCCAGGGCGGGGTGAGAGAAGGTGAGAGAAGGTGAGAGAATGACTCTACCTTCTCTTAACAATGTAAAGTGTGGGAATGTCTTTCATAACAGCTGTTGACAAGGTTACTACTACTACTACTAATATTAATTCTACTACTTCAATTACTACTAAAACTACTATTACTACTTCTACTACTAATAATTATTCCTTATAGAAAAAAAACCCCCGAGTTATATGAATATTAATGTAATTTCTTTAAACCTTGAAATTTTATCATTTTTATTAATTCTACCAAAATCTCCAAAAATTCTCACCAGTAGAAAATAAAAAAGTAAATAAAACAAAATACCAACAATACCTCGATCCTCATTATTATTATTTAAGGTGTAATATTAATTTTTTTATTATTATTGTTTTACAGGTGACAAGGTTACAGTGAGTAGTGAAAACATTTATCATTCAAGAAACGAAGGGAAAAAAATATAGATAAATTAAGAAAAAAAATACTGTGTTTTTATACGGGTTTTTTTTTGGGGGGTGTATGTATAGTGATGGTTGAGAGGTGTGAAGACGATAAATAAACAGGTGTGTGTGTTTGTGTGGCCCGTACAAACACTCACATACACTCACATTATGCATAAACATATATACACACATACATAATAATATCCTACTACTACTACTACTATTACCCCCATGACCTTGAATAGGGGCAAGTTGTCAACCAGTCTGTACATTCTTTGATCACGTGACAACACACCACACACCTCAACACAGCTGCTGGTTCCTTGATTATGGTGGTAGGGGGGATGGTGAGTTATGGTGGTTATGGTGAATCGGTGGGTCACTACTGTTTTATGTAAAGGCCTGTTATGGTGCTCATGGATTATTATTATTATTACGTATGAAATTGATTTGTTTCTCTGCTGGACTCGCTTAGTAACAACAAACTAACCTCGTAATACAAGTAATAATTAATCCACTATTTCATCATCAATGTCTATTATGTGCTATTTATAAAAAGAAAAAAGAAATCATTCCAATTCCAATTCGACTGCGGATAATTAGTGGTCGTAATGATGCTTGGTAGATTTTAAAAACATTGTTCTTAATATGACATTTTTTTTTACTTATGACACATACTCTGCCTTGACACCCCCTTCCTCACCTCCCTCCCTCCCTCATTCTTATCTCCCTTACCTTATGCTCTCCCTCACCCTCCGTCTAACCGTTCCTTCCTCCCTCCATCTATCCCCCCTTCTTCACTTCCCTTCATCCTTGCCTCTTTCTCCCCTCTCCCCCCATTCTTACCTCCTCCCCAGCCAAGGACCCGTTCCCACCCCCTGCTGTCAAGGATAGCAAGGTTGGACCTCCTCCCCGACACCTCACACACCCTCTTCCCCCTGCCCCCCGCCCCCCATTTCCCCACTCCCCACTCCCCACCTCCCCCATTACCTGTCTGGATTCACCCTCTGGCATGTTGAAATTCTCAGGTAATCTGAAGAGACTTACTTCACCTGATCGCTAGAGACAAGAGATCTATTTCTAACAGGAGACATTAAAAACGGTATTCCAACAGGAGACAATGAAAACACCAACGGATATTCTAACAGGAGACACGAAAACACCAACGATATTATAAACAGGAGACAATGAAAAACAATTCAACGGATATTATAAATAGGAGACAATGAAACACCAACGATATTATACTAGTGAGACAATGAAAACACCAACGGATATTATAACAGGAGAC